TTACGGTGTCGACCATTAGTTCCTCGTTGGAGAGCACAAGGGTCCAAAACAGAGGGTGTCACCCGTTCGGAATCGCGTGGGAGAGGTGACATGGTTGTACAGGGGTACATCGGCGATCACCATTTTCAAATCCGCCTCGAATCTTTCTCTAAGTGATGCTGGAACTTCGATTGCGTGCAGCTTGAATTCCCCCACCAGAAGGACGTGACTGCATGGTCGTGCCAGGACTCGTTTCATCGCAGAAGCTAGGCATTGATCCATTTCCAAGGTGGACATGGGGAGGCGGTAAACTATTGCTAGTAAACACACATCACCACGTCTTAGGTGCATACGACACCAAAGAGAATCGACGACTTTCGTTTCTGGGTCCTCAATGATATCAACATGCAGGTCGGATCGATAATACAGGAGCACTCTCCCTCCTCTGCTAGGTCGATCGTTTCGTATGGAAGTCATGCCGGGTAGTGCAATCTCAGCATCCATGATCACCGAGTTCACAGCAGGGCAAGCAAGCAGGTAGTTCAAGCAGAGCACATAAAAGGTTCACACAGCCGAACAGACCCAGACCAGACCGGAGAAAGCAGTTCAAACAGCAGTTTCAGGCACCATTTTTCAGTAGACAAAGCAGTCAGATTACCGCCAGACACATCCATAGTTCAGTACACAAAGACCACGACAGCCGCTTTCACAAAGCACATCCTTTGTTCAGCACAAGGTTCCAAAGCAAGATAGGGACATACAAACAAACTAATTAAGAACACCAGAAAGCAGCAATCAGAAGTTATTATTTCCAGGGAATCAGCCTGTTCAGTTCAAGGCAAAGGAGTTCAAGAGCCAACAAGAAAGGCCATTCAGTTTCAGAATTCCCGAGTCACAAATCACCGTGTACAGACCAAGAGACAAACACACCCCAACAAGCAATGAGACATTCAGAGGTTCAGAGCAGATTCAAAGCGGATTGCCAGTGAACAGACAATTTCAGCAGTCACCCGTTCCAATTCAGGCACGGTACAAGAAACAGCCGCCGCATCATAGAGCAACGCAGAGTTTCAGTGCACACAGGTTCAATCAAGGAGCAAGGCCAAGCAGAGCTGACAGGGAGCAAGCTCAATGTCAACACGTCACACATCCAACTCGTGTTCATTGGATCAACATTTCAATCACAGGGTTTTTCCATTTCACACATTTCCAGCCATCAAGACAGCTAAAAGTCCACAGTCCACAACCTCAATCAACAAGTTTTCCACAAACAGTTCAAAATCAGACAAGCAAAAAACAGGGCCAGCCCAACGACCGATGCCATCCGCGGCCACTCACCAGCAGGCCACAGCATCATCCTGCCCCGCCAGCGCGAAACTTTTCAAAGCCAGATACCCCAACCCCCAGGGATCCGGCCAAGACAAGTACAAACTGTCTTCACATGAACCCCCCCCTCGCGCTAACAAGAATACCACCAGAACACAAACAGATATATCCGCAGAGCAGCCAGTTATATATACCGAGCAGCATGGCATCCCTACAACCACCGTTGGTTCATGCAGAACAAAGAAGAGGAGACAAGACAAGTATTCAAACAGAGGTAGAGGTCAGCCCATATTTTATTTTTATTTGTCGGTACCATCCGAAACGTAAGGTCTCCAGTCAGCAAAAACCACGAGCGTTCAGACCCTAGGCGAAAGTACGGAAGTTCGGTTATGCTTGCAGAGGCTTGTCTAGCTTTGTTGGATATGCATTGGTATACCAGCAACAAAGGGATTAGAACTGATATACATCGCAGGCGGGAATCGGCGGGCGGTTGGGTCCAGTAAGCGCGTTTGTGAAATGAGTTGTTCGCTTGGTTGGATCACTCTGGGGTGAGGTGGCTGGACACGAGCCGCGCCCGCCGCACCATGGGGCCTATAGGCCCGATGTAGTGATACTAGTGCCTTGGGATTGTTATTAATAAACTTAATAAATTTTTACTGCGATATAATGTTAGGTCCGGCTTCAAGTTTCTGTACCCCTGTGCTGATCGTATCAGTCTTGATAGAAATCATACTCCCTACTAGGGTTTCTGTGCATTATGGTCTGTTAACGTGAGAGCGGCCAAATAAAAGCCCCCCACACTCACTCAAACACCACACTACACCAAGGGGGCCGTCACTCCCACACAGAAATGTTCGCTGCCGGGGACGGTGGGGGATAGGCCCCTATGACCGACCAAAGTAAAAATGTTGAGCTTTTATTCCTCCCGCCGCCGATCCCCTCACTGCAGTCCATGCCTCCCTGCTTCCTTTTGCAGCGAGCCAAAGCCCGTTCGTGCCCGCCCACGCGCCCAGCCAAGGGCCAGCCCCCCCTTCCCGGCGAAAGCGCCATCGAATACACCACGCCCTCAGCACAACCCCCCACTGCATGCTCTCAGGCTGCGTTCCCTTGTCAACTTCCACATCCATACACGCCTCAAGACCTTGCCCCCTCCTGAATCCCCCGATCATCCCCTGATGGAGCTATGCCCCACCACACACAGACATGTCGCAAGGTCCGCGGCGTGATACGGTCGGGCCGGCCTCCCCACCCCCGACACGGAGGGGCCCACCCATAATGAAATGTCCGGGCCGAGGCCCATCACCCCTCCACACCATCCCCCACCCTCACACGCAGCGCCCCTCAAGTAACAGGGGGACGTCCCCCCACCACCACTCACGCAAGCGCCCCCGATAGTCGCCTCTGTGCGATTAAAACCCTAGCAAGCTGAAAGGCCGCTCCGATACTCCCCGTCCATGTGTGACACTCCCGGCTCCCCAACAACAACAACCGGAGGATGAGGCGAAAGAGTAGACAGCAGAGGCCGACCTACGCAAACACCACAAACAAGACCAGCTTTGTTGAGCGGAGATAAAATATCTCGGTCAGACACGTATATTGTATCGAGAAAGAATTATTAGACTAAACGCTTGCAAAGATAAGACTTTTCGAGATACCGAAATAGTCTTGATGTAGGGGCGCCGTGGGGGTTAGTTAGGACCCCGACACCCCGCGTCGCGCAGAGCATCCCCCCCCCCCCCCCCCTACCCCACCCGGCCCCCCCCATAATGTCCCCATCATTTCTGCACCAACTCGTCCCTAAACCCCCCCCTCTGCCCAACTCCATACCCTCCCCCCCACCACCTCAAGCAATAAATCTTCTGTATCACATATAAAAGTAAGCAAAATCTCCCCTATCCCCCCCCCTCCCCTGCCCCCCCCTTCTGTTTTCCTCTCCATGCCTCGCTTTGCGACCTTCTCTCCCCAAAAAAGAAAAACAAAGTAAAAAGCCCCCAATTGTTTAATAAAATACTTCAAAAATAGAAAAACAAAAGACAAACAAAAAATACAAAAGTGTAAAAATTCTTTCTCAGTTACCCCCCGCCACAACCAAAAGTCTTTCCCATCCAACACCCCCCACAATACCCCCCCACTCAGACAAAACCAACAGAGCACCCCCACCTACCCTCCCCACACACTTGTTTAAATACACCTCAACCATCCTACGGGACGTGTCAAGCACTTGCTTTTATCCCGTGATAAATCATTGTTCATAGTGTCTGCGTCATCGGTCCTACAAACAAAGACTGGCAACCGACCCCACAAGGATCGGCATATATATATATATATATATTTGCAAAAGTCTGTTAACAGACATAATGCCACCAGAAACCATGGGATTCAAACGAAGGTACAGAAACAGTAAAATAAAACACAACACAACGATGTCCATGGATCGGCATAGACTCTCACCAGGAACCAGCATTCACAAACGCGCTTCTGACCACCGATATCCTCATCTGCTTGTATACCAATGCACAAGACCTCAGCAAGCTAACCGAACTTCGTATTCCTCAGGTCTGCACGCTTTGAGACCTCGTTATGGTCACCGAAAAATGGCTGAACACGGTGATCATTGATGCTGAGACTGCACTACCCGGCATGACTTCCATACGAAACGATCGACTTAGCAGTGGAGGCGGAATGCTCCTGTATTATCGATCCGACCTGCATATTGATATCATTAAGGACCCAGAAACGAAAGTCGTCGATCCTCTTTGGTGTCCTCTGCACCTAAGACATGGTGATGTGTGTTTGCTAGCAATAGTTTACCGACCTCCAATGTCCACCTTGAAAATAGATCAGTACCTAGCTTCTGCGATGAAACCAGTCCTGGCACGACCATACAGTCAGGTCCTTCTGGTGGGGGACTTCAACCTGCACACAATCGAAGTTTCAGCATCGCACAGCGAACAATTTAAGACTGGTTTTCAAGAGGTGATCGCCGATGTACCTCTGTACAACCATGTCACCTCTCCCACGCGATTCCGAACGGGTGACACCCTCTGTTTGGGACCTTGTGCTCTCCAACAAGGAACTAATGGTCGACACCGTGACCATAGATGCATTACCTGGCCGTAGCGATCACGCGATGTTGCCTTTTCGTCACATCTGTTACTCGGAATACATCAGTAAGAACAACGTGGAAACCTATGTCGTTACACATTACGATATATTGTCCAACCTCGTTCAAAAAACCGACTGGTCCTTCCTGGCCGAGAAGCCGCCCAATGTCGCCTGGATCTTGTTCGTCACCCAATTCACTGAGCTAGTGGCAAATGCGTCAGAAAGCAAAGTTCTTCGCCCGAAGCAAGTGAATTCGTTCCTGAGGAGCCGTACTGAAAAATGCATGGCCTTAAGGAATTCAGCCTGGCGCTCTTACAAAGCCTGTCCAAGTAACCTGACCTGGGGTGCTTACAGAACTCAACGAAATCACTGCGTCAAGTTGATCCGCGAAGACAAACTCCAGCACCAATAGAACTTAGCGGCGAAATCCAGTTCAAATCCTAATTTGCTGTATAAACACATCAACAACCTCCGCAGAGTGCAGCGCGGGATGCCGGTTTTACGTGCAACAAATGGTCTTGCGCAAACCGCAAAGATGCATCCAACATGCTTCATCAACGCTTCATCCATACTTTCCGGAGTGAACCATCATTTCTTCCGCTTTTTACACAGCTTCCATCGACACCAGGGTTAAACCACGTATCTTTCACAGTAGCCAATCTGCTGAAAACGCTAATGTCATTGCGCGTGCACAGCTCACCTGGCGTGGACGACATCAAACCGAAGGCCTTGAGGACAGCGGCAATGAACCTTACCGAACCATTAGCTCGGTTCTTTCAACGTAGGCTCGACGAAATGCAGGTTCCGACAATGTGGAATTATGGAATAGTCACTCCTATTTAGTAAAGTGGTAATTGTTCGATGCCCTCGAATTACCGTCCAATCACTCTCCTTCCCGTTTTATCCAAAGTAATGAGACGTATAATTGCAGAGGCGCTCATGAGATATCTTGAGAGCAACAACATCCTAGTGTCAAAGCAACACGGATTCCTCCGAAATTGATCATGCACTATAAAATTGCTGGTAACCCGAGCAAGCTGGACAGAGTCAGCTGATGCCAGAATGGGAGTCGACGTTGTCTACCTGGACTTCTCGATAGCGTTCGGTCGTTTGAACCACCGTATTCTCCTTCACAAGCTTCGAAGCTATGGAGTCGATGATTCTATACTCGGTTGAATCGACAACTTCCTCGCTCAACGTCAGCTGAATGTGAGAATCCGCAGCTCCATTTCCGACCCAATGGACGTCCGGTGTGGCGTGCCCCGAGGATCGGTGCTGGGGCTATGTTTATTCCTATATTCATTAACGATCTTGCCAGTGTACTGCCGTTGAATTTCTTACTATTCGCAAATGATGTCAACATTTGGCATGATATCAGGACAGCGTATGATCACATGGTATGACAAAGCAATCTCAACATGGCTTATGCGTGTTCATCCGATAACCGGCTCCAGTTCAACGTGACCAAGTGCAAAGTCGTAAGCATGCGCCATCAGCTTATCTATGAATATCGACTTGGGGGCCAGCAGTTACAACGTGCTTCCCAAGAAAACGGCCTCGCGGTGATCGTGCAGGACGATCTTGGTTGCGCGAGACAAGTTGAAAAGACATCAAAAAAGCCAGTCAACATCTTGGACTTTTACAGAGAGCTTTCGGGAATTTGGAGCCATCATTCTTTCCTCAAATGCTGAACGCCTACTTGATGCCTCACGTGGAATATGCGATCCAGGCCTGGCGCAAGCGCGACGTCGATGCACTTGAACCTCCACAACGTAGAGCGACGAAAGTCGTTAGAGGATTGTTTCATTTCTCCTACCAACGCAGACTGCAGTCCCTGAGATTGTACAATGGTGAATATCGACGTCAGCGAGGAGACCTACTCATGGTTTACTTAATATTCACGAACCCAATTCATTCATGTCACAATCTGTTACGGCTTATCCAAAATACCAACCTGAGCGGCCATCATCTCAAACTGGCTACGCATTACGGTCGACTTGATGGTCGACGAAACGTTTTCTCCTTCCGTGTGTCCCATGCCTGGAATGCCCTTTTGAATCACGTCATCCATGTCCTTACAGTAACGCTGTTCAAAAAACGCCTTCATGAAACGCTTTCCAACTTGCATTATTTGCTATAGTCCGTTCCATTTGGAGGACGAAATAACGCAAACCTAATCATGTGCTTAACTGCCCTCTCCGCAACATGGCGGTGAAGATAGATGCAGAAGTGTTCAGGTGAATAGCCTGGAGGTATCTAAACTGTATTAACATACCACATCTGTCAAGTGAAGCGACACACGAGTAGGCGTTGTCGTTTCCTTTTTATTTCTCACTCAGTTACTGAACTACAACGGGACTTTATACTATCTTGTGTGTGCACATCCCATTCCCACTTCAAACTATCGTTATACAGTAGTGCATTTAAATCACTAGACACTTAAAATAACCATTTACTTATTTGGTGATCCTTTAAATTTTAATTTTTACTCTAAGCATCGTACGGGACTTGTGAAGCGCATGCTTTTTTCCCGTGATCAATCATTGTTCATTGTGACTGCGTAGAGCCAGACTGCTCTACTCTGACGTCAAAGGAATGTGGTATTGTGTTTACATTTTGATACGAAGACTGTATTAGGGGAGGATTGCAGATTAACGACAAGGGGCCCTTCATCGGGTAGGACGATTAGTAGAGTAACGGCAATGTGTATAACTGGTCCACTCACTGCTTGATGTACAGAGTCAAGGATTCTTGCGTCATCTCAGTCTCTGAGGTTTCATCGTATCCCCACCTTATCACCTCGTGCAATATATAATATACACAATCTGTGGTACAGATATTGTACCTTCGGAATCATGACTGAATAAGAAAACAGTATGAATAATAAGAAAAGAGCAACAACAAATACTTTTTTGTCTAGTTTACCACTCAGTTTTTGAATTTTTTTCAGTTTGTTCATTTCTGAGGGGGAGAAAGAAGGGACACCGCAACACACCGATGCACACGTCCGCCATTGACATCGTTCTTGAGCCATGGTTTCCAAGGTCTTCA